ATTTTCAGTTCAGCCCTGGGCAAATTGCACTTCTGCCCATCGGACCGAACTTGAGTCCAATACTTAAGATCGGACCCAAGCCCAGTACGGGCATTCAGTTTGCAGCCTCAGTGCTTGTGCATCCCTTTTTCCGCTCGTCAGCTTCCTTCGCTGCCTGGCCATCGGTGTGACTTGCCTTGACATTGTGTTCGAAAATCCAAGACTTCGACTTTGCGACTTTGTGACTTTGCCACTTCGTGTCTGCGTCCGTCGAGTCGTGTCGAGTCTGCGTCGAGTTGAGTGAGTGTGTGTGTGTGCTCTCACTCTCTCCCTCTCTCTCCCAGCCTCGTTGCCTTGCCTCTGCCTCTGCCTCAGCCTCGTCACAGTAAGCCTCTCCGTTCATGGGAGTTACTCTTGACGAAGCCTTGGGGATTTAGTCCAGAGTCGTGGGTGGGGCGACGAGAACTTACCAGAGGAAAGTAGGGTGAGACACTAGGAGAAGTATGTCCAGTAGCTGTGCGATTTGTTCCCTTGCCGCTTCGAAACAGGAGCTTGGATCTTGCAGGAGCCGTCTGATGTGCTCGATTCTCCTCCTTGAGGGTTCAGCCAGCGGATGCACTTCCTATCTCTGGTATAGCCTAATGAGATCCCCCCTTTCTCTCCTCTATAGGCTCTTCGTCCTTTGCCCTTTGGCCGTAGCAAAGTTCTTTCTCCTCCCCTTTCTTATGACCGCATCCTCGCTTGGAATTGTCTTCTTCTGTTAGAAAAGGCAAGAACAGACGGCGCAAAGAAGGTTGGAAAAAACTTGCTGCGTGCTCTTCGCTTTTTTCCAACCTTTCCTCGGAATAGTAACTGCGTCCTCTAATGCTTTTCCCTGCTTCGCAACCTCCTTCCTGGCTTCTCTCTGGGATTTGTCTTTCCCTTCCTATGGCCTTACTCCCACAATCTTACTTATGATGTTCCTTTATCGACGACTCTCCTGTCAAGTTCAAAGTGTTTTCAACTTTTCTTCCCGACAAATGACTGCCCTCCTGTCCACTTCCCATGATTGTGCAGGGTGGTCGACCACCTTTCGAGGCTGGTTCCCGTGCGTGCTTATTCTCAAGTCGGTTGTGTTCATTCCCCTGTCCTACGCTCCACTATGCTAATCTTGACTACTTGGCGAAACTTCTACTTCCCTCATCATTTTGCGAGCTGGCTAATGATAGCTATGGCGTCCGTTTCGCCACGCCCGAAGGCATGGTGTGTCTTTCCCCTTTGCGCGCAAGTTTGAAAGTTTGCGCCCTGAGATTTCCGCATTTTGTTCACCGTGCCCTTCATGAGGAACTGCCGAGGTGGTGGGGCCCGGGCTCCTGGAGAGCAGCAGCACGTTGGTGCAAGGCAGTACCGCTAACCAGCGGCGCTAGTGCAAAAAAAACAAAGCCCAGGCAAACTTTTTACCTTTTTTTTTTTTTTAATAACATCCCTTGTGGGTGCTAGGCGTGTTGATAAGAGCAAGCACGCCTAGCCCCTAAGGGAGACTCCATCTATTGGTGGGGAGCTTCACCTGCTGGAAAGTCCAGCGTCCATATACAGCAAGGACTGCGAATGTCTGAGAACAGTAGCCGTGGGGCCTGTCAGCATTCATTGCCCTGGCACCCAGGGGATTGAGAATCGAAAATGAGTTATTCTGAAAAGCTCGGATGAACAGTGCTACCAGACCAAAATGGCTGACGGCACCAGCCAAAAGAAAAGGGGTGTTACGATCCTGGTCATTTCCCAAGTGCAAATTCACAATAAAAGACAATGCCACCCAATTGCGAAAGAAATGAAAGCACTTGCAAGAGATAAAGACCAGAGGAGAGGTAAAGAAGAAGAAGAAGAAGAAGAAGAAGAAGAAGAAGTACACCAGCAAGACCAATGACAATTCCCCCTTCTCTCTCCCCCTTCCTCCTTCCTCCTTCTCTTCACCAATCTTCTTCTCTCAACAATAATAATAACAATGAATGGATGAACCAGAATCAATGTCCGAAGTTCCCCCTTACTGCTGACTCAACTCACAACAACAACAATAACAACAAGTCCACCATGGCTATGTCTTCCCTCCTTCAACCTCCTCTCTCATGCATAGGCCATGGCGGACTACTGGGGGCAGCTATGGTGCTGCCCTGATGTCCAGAAGACAACCCAAAGCAGCTATGTCGCTGCTTGACTTGGTCCGCTATGCCTGACTCTGCCCCTGTCTCTTATACACATCTAGATGTGTATAAGAGACAGGCCCTGATGTCCAGAAGACAACCCAAAGCAGCTATGTCGCTGCTTGACTTGGTCCGCTATGCCTGACTCTGCCCCGAGCTGCCCTGGTGCAGCGCTACCCCAACTGGGGCCTTCCAGATGCAGCGCCCAACAAGGTGATGAAGACGGTGTCCACCATAGCCAGGTAAGTGCCCTGCCACTCTCCTACCATGCCCCCTTCTTCCTCCTCCTCAAGCTGGGGTGCTCGCCATAGCCAGGCTGAGCCCCAGCGGACCTTCACCTCCAAGCAGCGCTGCTTCAGTCCAGCGCTGCGCTCCAGCAGCATGTCGCCAATCCTTGCATACCGCAAATGAGGAAGAGCTCTCCGCTCTTCCTGAAGATATAGCGGCCTACCGGCCTCCTGGGCGGTGACTTCCTAGGCCAAGCGGCCTCCCAGCAACCGGTACCTCCTCCTTTTTGGAGGGAAACATCATTGCAGGCTCTGCTATTGTCCGCACCGGCCCTAGACCCGGGCTACTTGGACTGGTACCGGCCTACCTCTAACGTACCGCTACTGGGCCTCTAAAAATGCCAACTTTTTGTCTTCTTCTGCTCGGCCTACCTGCTACTTGAGTGTTTTTCCCCAGCTGCTCTAAGTGCCGTGGGCCTACTCCCCGCTACTGGCGTGTTTACCCCCCTGCAACCCTTCCAAGTCACGGCCACAGGTAAGTACCGGCCCGGTGGGCCTTGCAACCAACAAGTACCCTTGCGGATCACACACACATACCCAACCAGCAAGCACTCAGACAGGCATGCAAACCAGCAGGCACGCACACACACACAACCGGCAAGCACTCAGACAGACATGCAAACCAGCAGGCACGCATACACACAGACTTGGGACCACAGCAGAATGCGGGAATCACAGCAAGGCATTCATTCCATTGGCAAATCCCAGAAATCGGCAGTGTTTTCAGTCTGTGTTTTTGGCGGGTCATTACAGGGGGGGAAAAACGCCGTGCTGGCATTTCGGCAAAGCTTGGCACGCAGGGGGAATGCACCTCGGCAAAACGAGTCTCGAATGTACTGGTGGCTTAAGGTCATGTGCATGCATCAGGTTACTCGCACCACACAATTACGGAGCGTCCTTCGGCTACCAGAGGTCGTTGAATTACTCCCACGGTGGCCTCCTCTTGCCATAGACATACGCTCTGTGACAAAATGGTGACGCTCTGTGCATTCAACATAACAAACAGTATGCTTCCTCCAGACACCCTGACAATTGCCATTGTAGATAAGCATTTCCACCATGTACTGCCATTGTTGACGGTCATGTGGGCACGGTGGACTACACTATTATACAAGAGTAACAAGTCACATTTGAAGGCTCCAAATATCGCCTCAATGCCAACACCACAGATGTGATGAAAGCAAACATGACATCAGCACCCAATAATGAGTTAATAATTGCTGGCAGTCTCTCCCGGTTGCGTAGATGGTGGGCTGCAGTTCTTTCAAGCTGCCAACAAGATTTTACAGTACTCAGGCTGCCTCGCGAACTGCAAACACATCTGTTTGGTAGCTACTGCTGCATTTTGCCGTAGTACCAGTTGGATAGATTCTGTGCTGCGACGGGAAAGGGAAGGAGAAAAGGTGTGTTCTTGGTCTGAGTACACTAGACATCTCTCCGAGCTGTTAGGATCTCTATTCCTCCTCGTGTAGCCAATGATTGACCGGCAGGGTACATATCTTAGTTGCGGCGCACTGCTCCAGTGCGCGATGCGGTGCGGTGCGGCGCGTCGTGCGGGATGTGCTCGGGGACACCGCACGTGATATCTTTCAGAAGGGTCTGGCTAGCCAAGGACAAGGTGCCGGAGGTTATCGACATACAGCTGAAATTCGAGGACTGGCATAATTCAGAAATTCCGCTATGGAGGCAGAGTCCCCATACAGAGAGGTCACAGAGGGGCCAGGAAGGTCGTGACGACCAGAAGGATTGCCGCATCAGTGGAAGAGGATATGACAGAGAGGTCACAGAGGGGCCAGCAAGGTCGTGACGCCGAGCTGTTTAGACAAACTCGTGGACGGAAGTAGGAGGGGACGAAAGAATGCCTTCTTGTGATTCTTGATGTGAATAGCCAATGCTGGTCAGGGATCCTCCAGCGAAATGGAAGTATGCGTTAGTGTGTAAATGATTTATCTTGCTATCTTGACTTGCCGGGGGACCAGGAACCGAATTGACGCTCCCCAGAATGGATATGGAGCCAGAGCCATATGGACCAGCATCCTCGCTGGCCATGCACTTCTTCTTAATCAGCTCTGGGGCTGTCGGCACACTGACACCGTGCCTTATCTCTACTTTGCACTCAAACCACACGAATCTCCACCACCCGTTCATCCAACCCTTAGGGTGACTCAGCAAAACGACCTTTCCCAATCTGTACCTTGCTCAACGGCTCCTTAGCAGGCCTCTTCACAATCCTCTTGCAAACGCAACAATGGCCTCTTGCTCGCCGTGAATGATCTGTTTTCCTTTTCATTTCCATTGCCTCTTTTCTGAAAGTCTTGTCAGCTACGACTTGTTACGTTTTGATCTCAATCAAGTTGCCAGGTGAGGCCTTTGTGGTCCTTTTGTTTCTTGGGCATCTCTTTCTCCATTTGCTGAAGACTGAAGTGCTTGCTTGGTCTTCCATATGCCTCTGTGGTGTCTGTTTTGCAGGAGTGGTTTGGACATCTCTTTCTCCATTTACTGAAGACTGAACTGCTTGCTTGGTCTTCCATATGCCTCTGTGGTGTCTGTTTTGCAGGAGTGGTCGTTGAGTATGGTGCCCCATCAAGGTTGTTGGAGGATAAAGGATCCTGCTTTGCATCGATGGTCCATGAGTACTCGTCACGGTCTAGCAGTGTTGCTGACTTGACGTTCATGGTCAGGAATCAATCTCCCCGTGAAGAGAGTTTCTGCCACTCACCTTCACTTAACTCCCGTTCATCAAGCAGCCACAAGCCCAGTGGTGCATCAAGCTCTGGTTCTAACTGGATGGATACCACTCCTTGTGTCCCTTAGATCTCTCAACCTTAGCATCCAAGACATGGTTTTACCTGCAACCCCCTCTCTCTCTCTCTCTCTCTCTCTCTCTCTCTCTCTCTCTCTCTCTCTCTCTCTCTCTCTCTCTCTCTCTCTCTCTCTCTCCCCAGGGATTGCCCCTGCTTCCACTCTCTTGCGCATGCACATGTTCATACAGATACACAAGCACAAGAAGGCCCGTACTGTGCCTCATGCCTTGTTCCCCTCTCACTCATCAGCATACAGGATGCAGGAAAAAAGACGATTCTGCCTACATTTGTATGCGGTTGTATTTGCATTGGTGTTGTTTCAAAGGATTCATGATAGCATTTCTCACACCCGCAGGCAAGAGCTGTGAAGAATTAATGGCTGATCAGATAGGTCCTCCCTGTATTATCTCGCGTTCTGCATTTTTGCAGTTGTGTAAGTCACTGGTGTAAACACATGCACTCTCTCTCTCTCTCTCTCTCTCTCTCTCTCTCTCTCTCTCTCTCTCTCTCTCTCTCTCTCTCT